AATGGGCAGCCCATGCCCCAGAGAGCCGACCACCACCGAAACCTTGCCCGGAGCATCCAAAACCCACCGCGCCCCTGTTAGCAATACCCCTGGAAGCAGTTCGCAGGCTTGCGAGTGCCCACGCCCCCACGGAGCCCCCCAGCTCCCACGCAGGATGCAAGGACACCCCTTCCCTGGGTCCAGGGCAGCGGCTTTTAGCAGCTCCAAGAGTTTTACAAGTGGTTTCCTTCACCTATTTTTGGAGAGCTCAGGGGTCCCTCCCTGGGAGTCCAGATGCTGCTGGAATCCAGCCCCCCCCTCCTCGCCCCAGGCCGCGTCTCTCCGGCAGCACCTTCCAGATTGTCTCGTTCAAGTGGGTAAATTCCCAATCAAGGCACTCGCTTAATTGCGATGGGTTTGGCAGCCCCGGGGAGCTCCATCACTGCTGCCGAGGATAAACCTCTTTCCTGGAGCTAACAGCTTCATTTGTGCCTCTGGGGGGGGGTCACCACGATAGACACCCCCCCAATCCCATCCTGTGAACCCCCAGGGGCTGAATCCTGCCCCAAAACCTCAGCTTTGGGGGAGAAAATGCATCACCCCCACCATCCCAGTTATCCCCATCATCCCAGTCATCCCCATGGCTGCTTTGCCTTCCCCAGCACAGCCCCAACCTGGCTGGGGAGGGGGGGGCTACAGATCCCACCACCCCTGGCACATCTGGCGGAGGGGCTGCCGAGGTCCTTACCCAGCAGGGCTGAGCATGCCTGGCAGAGCACAGCGTGAAAAACTGATTTTTTTTTTTTCTCCCACTTTATTCAAAAAGCAGAGATCAAAGAAGTGTGAATCTACCTGAAAATGACTATTTTTTTTTAATCTAGGTGAGCCAAAACCTGACAATAACACAAATTCTCAGGTTTTTGTTTAACCTGGAATGGATCTTTTCTGAGAGATGCATGCACAAAAGAGCTTGGAAAATAACACTAAAGAGAACTGAAAAGGGCTTTTCAAGGAAAAGACATTTTTTATGCCATATTTAAAGTAAAAAAAAAAACCCAAACCCAGTTCAAGTCCCAACATGTCCACCCTGGGGCCAGGGGCTGCCTTTGCAGCCAAGGGGAATGCCAGGGGAATGCCTCCGGGGCTGGGAGCTGCTCCCAAGGGGAAAGGGTGTTTGCAGCCTCCATCTCCCGCTCCGCTGACAGCGTGAGGCGGTGGGTCCCTCTCCCCGCCGGCATTCGCTCCCGACCCTGCTGGGATGGAGAAAGGGATGGAGAAAG